ACATTTTTAATGTAAAGTATACATATGTTTAATAAAGCACATATACCTAGCCTGACAGAGGGTTTAAAAAAAAAAAAGATAGACTCAACTAGGGGTTGGTGATTGATAATAGTCTAACAGCGATGTTTAGCATAGTTAGTAGATCTTACAATTGGTTTATATATGCTAATATTAACTTATACATTAGGATTAATTAATCACTTAGATATCACAATACTTTTGACTTGAACCTTAGAAGAGATTATAATCCTCTTTGTTATCACCTATGGCATTACAGACAAATTCTATTTGATAAGTCCTTCAATTAAGCAAATACTAGATTGAGATATTTTAAATTAGAATAGTTAGGTCCCAAAATTTTCAAATACAGTTTTTGGTTAGAGAGTATCAAATGATTATTGCAGTCCTAAAAGTGGAATTCTGAAATTTCTTTTCCTGTTTAGTTCAGAGGAGTATATAGGCAAATTGTATAACTAGACTAGAAGCCTTTCTTCATGCAATCCTTATGATAGATCTATTTTAGTTTAACAATTAACAGTGAGGTCAGAAGTCCTATTCTTGCACAACCTGATTATTTTTTTCACTTGATCCTTAAGTGGTATTGAACTTTGGATCTTATAATTGTGACCTGGGAGCATTACCACTGTGCTATAGACCTATAGATCTTTTATTTTTTTTTTTACTATATACAGTAAATATACTTATATATTTTTATATATTTCTATTTTTTCTTTATTTTTTTTTAATCTATCTTTATATAGTTTTTTGTATATTAAATAGCTTGATAGAAAAATATATAGTTACAATTTATTAATTATAACGTAGAATCTAAAAAAGTGTTTACTCCAAATCTATTATAAAATAATACTGTAAATAGTTTTTAAGATCAAATTTAAAGACTTTTATGTTTATGATAAGTTGGTCAAATTTGGATTTAAAGTTTAACTATAATATACATTATACTGCATAAATAAATGTATTCTTTTGATTAATATACTTTTAATCTAACCTAGCTACAGGTTGTAGAAAAAAATTATAAAAATTTTCTTTTTATAAAAATATTTTATTTTATGATTATTTTAATTAAGCATAATTGTATTTATATCTGCACATATATACATTTTAAAATTGATGTTTTAATTATTAATATAATGTAATAATATTAGGTTTAAATTTAATATTAGTTAATATCAAACATAATAAAATAAAGTAAAATTTTTAAATAATTATAAAAATAATTTATTTAATCTACAAATTTATAATTTATTAAAATTTATTATCGAACAAAAAATCTTTTAAAACGCTTCTTTAATATGAAATATAAATTAAATTAATGATTAAATTTCATGAGATATAGCGTTAAATAGATCGCGGTCAACATATATAACTTTAATGTAATACTTAATTGAATATTTAATCAATGATAATAAATATAAAATTTGGTATAATCCCAAAGAAACACCATAAAATATTAAAATCCCAAATCTCTAATATCTTTATGGGTTACACACTAGCGGGAATGAATAAAGAGTATTAATAAAGAACGACATTGATATATCATCGAGAGAAGAGATAATTTACCTCGTAAAAACCCGAATTTTTAATCTAATATCAGATTGAATTATGAACATCTGTTAATACATGACATTCACGGAAATATATACAGTATAATTCAAACGTAACCAGCTTACCAAATATTTCTGATGCATATCCTCAGCATCATAGAACTCTCCAGCTTCTACAATTTGTGTGACAATCTTATCGCCTTCGTAAGCTCTCTTACCTTTATCACCTAATATTTTGCCTTTACTTAAATTCTCTTGAACTTTATTTGTTACTTCTTCAGCGATTTTTCGCTGTTCCTCCGAATGATAAAATATAGCTGATCGATACTGAGTACCAATGTCATTACCCTGACGATTTAATGTAGTAGGATCATGAAATTGGTAGAAGAATTTCACCAGGGAGGCATATGTGACCTTATTAGGGTCGTAGAGGATTTGACAAGCCTCAGCATGATTTGTTGTTTTGGAGCATACCTTAGAATAATAGTAAGGTTAATTTCATCCAGTTGTCTGATTATAAAATTTTTAAATAATGAAATTTATTTACCTCTCTATATGTAGGATTTTTTGTTTTTCCACCGATGTAGCCAACTTTAGTCTCGACTTGAAAATTTTTTGCAAATAGATTTTCAACGCCCCTGTTATAACGAATGGGAAAATTCCGAAAGCAAATTAGTACTTATATCACGTGAATTAAATATATTTGTATTAGGAATTGGCGATTACCAGAAACAACCAGCTGCGAAGGTAGCTTTTTCAAGAGTATTCATCTTAAATTTGGTGAAAGTCGAGTATGCGGACAAATATTTATTTTTTAAATAGTTTCGTAACATGGGAGTCGTCTTCCTTTATATTCGTGGCTTTCCTATCAAAAATATTGTTACGTAGCAGATAACAAAAATGGCAATTCATAGAATTAATAAATATCTAAAATTAATTCTAATCTGCAAACGGCTCTCCCTTTATTGGATGATAAAAATAAATCAAATTAATGCTTGTCTTCATACAGAATATTAAAAATTCACTAAACTAGCTTAAACACAAACTAGTTGCTTCAAGTTCAATTTAGGAATAGCATTTATAGTTGCATTTAGGTTTTATCTTTAAACTAATATTGGAATTTTAAAAATAATATATTTTTCTTTGTTTTTAATTATTTAAGAAATTTATTTATTAAAGATTTGTGAATCAATAATACAATGTTTTCAAATTACAATTGCAAGATCTATAGTTCAATATTACTTAAGGATCAAATTAAATATTTATTTTTGATTAGACTTATCAGTTATTTTGTGAAAGTTATATTAAATTATTGAAACATGAATAAAAAATAGATTAGGTTATATAAAAATAAGATTTTTGATTTTTTATTTATTAAAGATTGAGATATACAATTATATTTTTAGAAAAATTGCAAAAGAAAGACTTTTGATTTAATTTTTATAAATATTTTAAAATTCTTTTATTTTGATAATATCTAAAATTTTTAAAAGTTTTAGCTTAAGATATTTTAATTCATATATATTTAAATAAAAAATTGATTAAATAGAATATGTTTATAATATTACAAATAATAACAATAAAGATTGAAATTTCTTTTGAAATTTAAAAGGTATTCAGATAGTTTAATTAATCTTTAATAATTTGAATTATATATATAAGTCTCTTCTCTATCTTTTAATGTTTCAGCTGAAATTTTTCCTTATAATGATTTTATTATTCTCAACAAATTTATAAAATATTAATCAATATTTTATCTATCAGAGGATGATAAAATGCTTACAGTTTATCAGATTATTAAAAATATTATAAACTACAAACTCTAATATCCTTAAAATCAAATCTTTATCTCTATCAATATTAACTTCAACGCTTTTTCTCTAAAAAAAGGGAAACTCTTATACTTTTTCCAAATACTTTTGTGTTACAAGATAATTATCAACAGATCATAAAGATTATAAATCAAGATTATTTATTGCACCTGTTGTAGAACTAATCAATTAGGAAGATAATTAACTCTATTCTGACACTATATTAAACAATTCTTTCAATGATAGCTCTCTTAAAAGTATCAATTAAAATCAACTCTCTTTTATTTATACCATAGCCATAGATATGAAAATTAACTTCAGCAATAAAAAAATTTACTTTTTACTTATAGGCTAATAAAACTAAAGCTATATTTGATACTGAAGATATTAAAAATGCAAATCTACTAGACTATATACTAACTCTCTATTACTAAAATAACTGTAATTATCAATAATACTACCCTCTCACTAAAATTTCTTATAGAAATATTCATAAAAATCAATAATTTTCCCATGTTTTCCTTCAAAGAACCTATCAATAGTTCTTGCTAAAATCTTTTATAGAGATAGAACCTTCCTTCAATTCTTTGTTAAATCTGAAAAGTTAAAAGAAAACCATAAAAAAGAATATAAGAAATTAGTAAAAAACTTTTAGACTAACTACTTAACAAATATAATATTGGCTATATCAATAAGACCACCTTCCAAAAAATTAATATTATTATCAACAAATCTATCTTTGCTACTTATCTCTAAACTTTAGATCTCCATACTTTTTGACATTAATAAGTAGTTCAAATTCTGGAGTATGGCTTTAATTATTTTATTGATCACTCCACAGAAAAGATCAATTACAAAAAACTTCTGGCACAATTAGAAGAGCTTATCAAAAACATATTTCGAGAGCTTCTCAAACATCCTAATGAAATTCTCTTCAGAATCAAAAACAAATTATCTTATACTCTTCTATTAGAAGCCCCATCTATGATTACTCCAATGGCTCAAACATTGAAATACTTTTATAACTTTGATCTTTTACTTGAAAATTTTTTAAGAAATTATCAAATTTCTTCTTTAATCCCCAAAACCTTCTCTATGAATTCAATTTCATCTTTTCCATTATAGAACATACACAATTATATATTCTTAGACAAATAATTAATCAATTATAAGAAAAGTTCTATATATCTAACAAACTTCTTTATAATTATTTCAACCTCTCTCCAAAAAATCAGCCTCTCTAATATATATCAACAACTTTTTCAAGATTTGACTTCTTTATTTCCTATACTTAATAATATCCATTATATTAAACAAGTCTTAAAAACCCTTCAGAACAATAATTTTGCCTTTAAATTGCTCTTAAAAGATTATCTAATTCAAAAACTGCCTCTTCCATTAACTCATTGACATAGTGAGAACACTGGTATAGAATTGTCCATCAAATATTAATCTTGGATCAAAACTCCTATCCAAAAGCCATCTCTTCTCTATTTATTCAAATTGCCTTTTGAACCTAAATAGATAGACCTATCTCTCAAACAAACTAACTGACTGTTTTTTCTTAATAATTTCAAAGTCATTGAAAAGAAATTAAGTTTCTAAAAGAAAAATCTTAATAAAAAAAATTACTTGTTCAGTGACAATATTAAGAAAATCAAGAACAAATATTTAGGCTCAATTTCTAGATAATGGATTCTACCAGTTCTTTTGATTCTTCCAGACCTCTTAATCTCAAATAAAATTTGAAAAAAGAGAGAGCAGTAATTACTCTTTCACTAAAAGAGGATGAACCTTTCAATGAGAAATTAAACATTCTAAAACAATATTTCTATTTCCAAAAACTTCTAAAAAATTTTGTAAAAGTACCAGAGCTATCTGATACTAATGTAATTTTTCTTCCCCTACTTTATTAACTATAAGTAATTACCTAACTCAAGTTCTTCCTTTTTTATAACAAATCCCAAATGAAATCTTTTAACTCAAACAAATATTACACACTAAACCCCTTATCAAAAAATAATAATATCAAAAAACTATTATTGATTTCAATTCTCAATGTTCAAGGACTAAATGATTCAGAAAAACTATATTGCCTGCTAAATTCTCGAATCAATGAAAGACAAATTAAAATCTGCACTGAGATCAAACACATCACTTCAAAACTACTTTTCAAAAAAGCTAACAGTAATATAATTATATCTAGTATATCCAAAGAAGTCACTAGCAATAGTACTTATATAATTCTTTCTAAAACCCTTTCAAATCATATTATTGAGACATTTGATCCCAATTAATTTTGGTACACAATACATCTCACGTTTAAACCTAAAATAAATATCATAATAGTAGCTCTCTATCTTTTTCACTTTATTCTTATCAAAATATTACTTATTCATCTCTAAAAGAATTACTTCACTTCTATAGAAATTATAAATTCATTATAGCAAAAGACTTTAATACATATTCCTTAAAATCTCTATCAATCAATACTTCAACAAATAATTACAAACAAAAAATTTTACAGAATAATGACTAACATGATAGATATTGATAAGATCACTGCCAAAGAATACTTTTATGTACACTTTATTAATATAAGTATTTTAGAATTGATCAAATATGGCTCTAATCCAATCAAACAAGCAATATTCTAAATTATCATGTATTTGATTCCAATAATATCATAATAAATCACAAGGATATCACAATAATCTTTTAATGGTTTAAGTACAAATCACAAAGAATTTTCTATTCAACAAAAATGTACTTATTTAACAAAATATTGAAGAAATAAATAAACTTTTTTAACAAGGATATAAATTTAACCCTGGAAGCAAAGCCATATATCAAATAGCATCAATTTGTACTTATAATAAAAAATATATTAACTTCCAATATTCCTTTCAAAAAACAACAACATCCTATCAAACAAAACAATTATTTCCTGAAATCAATCAAACCATTAGACAATTGAAAAGCTCTATTGGAAAAAACAGAGTCAAGTTTTCCAATATTCTCCTTATAAGTAAAGCTAAATCCTTTTATAAAAAAATATCTAATCTCTCTTCAACAATTGCAACCATAAAAAAAATCCTTAAAGCACTACTAACTGAAAAACAAAAAAAGATGACTGATTATATGGCTAAACAAATCTCAATTTGAATCAAAGAAAACTACTATAACTTTTGAAAAAGGCTCAAACAATATATTTAATAGCCCTTAATGACCTTAAGTCATTCTTAGATCTATCCATCTTTTATAATAGTACCCAATTACAAAATGACTCAAAAATACTTAATAATTTTATTATCAGTTACTTTCACAAACTTCTTTCATTCAAAGAATTTTTCATTAGTGAGGACTGGCTCCCAAATTATAGTTTCAATAATTAAATATCTACCTATCCATATTATACCACTTTCACCACTATTGATCAGGCTAATATAGAAGATTCAATCTTATTATTTCCTCTTAACAAATCATTTAACCTTACCAAAATCCTTTATAAAGCCTGAAAACATATTGACTTATATACTCAAAAACATTTGAAAAGCTTCCAAATAAAATTATCAAAACTAGTCATTTTTCAGTATCTTAAAAATTTTTATTATTATTCTGTTATCTAAGAAATTAGTATGGTTTTATGATCTCTCAAATATCAGATCAATAGTCTTAATTGAAACTAGTTGCAAAATCTTTACAAAAATACTTATCACAAAATTATTCTTCATTATTGTTAATAATAATATTTTCTCGCAGTCAAACTATGTAAACACAAAAAATTAAAGTATCATAGAATCTATTTTTATTGTTTTCTCTTTCATGAAAATATCAATCAATTTGATGGAAAACTTCTGGATAGTCTCGTTTGACATCTTCAAAACTTATAACTCATGATAATCTCTTATTACCTATGAATTGAATCAAGATCACATAGCAAATTTTATCAATTGTGC